ACTGTCTAAATCATGGATCTAAATCCCAAGTGATTCAGATAGGAGGAAAGAGACTAAGCATGGCTACACCTAGCGAGATGAGAGCGCATAGTGTGTGTGAGCGGAGGAGCAGACAAGTGTGTGCGCTGCTAATGCCACAGTGAAATAGAATTGATCAGAAGTCACCATCTTTGTGCATTAATATAAAAAAAGTCTGAACACAGCTGTACAAGAATGTGCCCAACTCATGTGAGCTCCGCGCAGATCCATGGCTCCGCGACATAGTGGGTGACGCATTAATTGCGCGACACAAAAAATCGATAATTTAAATTTGTTGCCAACACTTTAAATTATCGATTTTTATCGATTTTTGTTGTTGTTGTTGCAGCCCTAATTTATAGGTCTGTTCCATAAAAAATATAATTGTTGGCAAATATTTCAGACATTTGGGAAAATTATTAAGATATTGTTGAATATTTCAAGCTTCCAAAGGTAATTATTTTCCTGTTTTGTCAAATGCCATACTCCAAAGGGGGTGCTTTGCGTTTATTTAAAAAAAAAATAAAGTCCCATTACGTCTAGCAACGTTTAAACAAGACAGCCCAAAATGGTTCAAACTGACCGACAGCATGGTTTTCATAATTGCCAAGGTTATGCTGCTTAAAGGGCCCATATCACGGTTTTTTACTTTTTCTAGGCTTTAAACATGATTACAGTGCTATTTGGCCTTCATACACATGCCCAGAGTAGTTTATTCATTGATTCTGTCAATCTTTAGTAAGAGAGCGATCTGTCTCCTTCCCCAGCGAGAGACAGTGAAACGGTCGGGTCCACTTCAGTGGCGAAAACCACTCTGATGACGCATATGACGTGCATAAGCCTGTTTGCTTCGTATTTAAAATAGTTTTTAAATGTTTTTGACAAAATGAGGTTAACAGTACACAATAAGTATTCTGTTTGTTATCTTAAAGCCTCACTAACTGACTTTATTTTTGTATTCATTACAAAAATGCTATCCATGTCCATTCAGTGCATTGGGATATGTCCTTTTGAAGAAAAAGTAGCACAGGGTTGTGCTGGCGTGACATTATATTTTAGATCGAGTTTTGATGAAACAAGGAAGAGAATGTGTTTTGGGTCTTAGATTGTGACCAATCACAGCGCACCACTAGCCCCCACTTTCGTGAGAAATCTACAGGTCCCCTGTTATCATAGACAGCTGAGTTAGCACAACAAGTGGAGGAGCTAACCTGAAGCTTCCTCGTCTTCGTCACCGGTTACTGCTTACACAGTGAGACAGCCATTCAAAAGAAAGTCCCGTTCCCTCGCGCTTCCCAGTTCTATCGTTCTATGGTCACGCCATCCACGTGCAAGTCCATATCCATGGATCTATCCATATTGGGAGACGCTAGCTACGTAAACAACAGTGGGTGTGCGGTAGCGGGGGCGATAGCTTCGTGGGTGCGGAGAGGGGAGGAGAAAGAGCGAGGCCAGCGAGTCCACTGCTTCAAAATCCCAAAGTCAGTTAGTGCAACTTTAAATTATACAAATAAAATAAATTAATAGTAAAAGCCGGCGGGAGATGATTGAAAGATCAAAACAGCAAATCAGAGCGCGCAGCCAGTTCCCAAGTCGAGCTCCCGAGTCCAGCGTCTGTGGTCTGGTCTCGCGGACACCAAATGGAGCTGCTGTTGATCTGCTTTTGTCAGCAACTATAAGTGTTGGGATCATGTCAACTTGGATGAAATATGTTTTGGGTGTAAATATGTGACGCACAATTTGGCGCGAAGAGGAAGAAAGCGGCTCGACTTTTCTCATCTGTTCATCTCATGGATCTATTATAATACAGGTGTAACGCCGAGATACACTTCCTTGAAGAGATGCACTTCCCCAGCTGTTTATGATGTAATGCAAACCTGCGCATGCGCGTCTCACGGCAACCGAAGCATACCAAGATGGCGGACCGTGAATTGCTTTAAAAGTTGAAATACGAACGAATTAAGACACGAATGTCACTTTTAATGCAATTTGAGGCGAGATGTTGATGGTTCCGTTTTGTCACATGTGGGTTTTAAGAGTCAAAGTTTCGTGCAAAGTTTAGTTTAAGCAGTCAACTGCGCCTGTGAAACCACAAAGCTAATGTTTTCATAGCAGTCCGCGGCTGCTGACGTAGGCTGATGACGCGTCCTGTGGCAACTCTACACTGGTCTGTCGGGTTGATAATGGAAAATGGGGAAAAAAATCAATCTAATTAAATATTTTGTTTGAACACACTATTGTTAATCATATTAAATACAGTACGATACATGTATTGAATGAAATTTATTATTTCCATTATCAACCCGACAGACCAGTGTAGAGTTGCCACAGGACGCGTCATCAGCCTACGTCAGCAGCCGCGGACTGCTATGAAAACATTAGCTTTGTGGTTTCACAGGCGCAGTTGACTGCTTAAACTAAACTTTGCACGAAACTTTGACTCTTAAAACCCACATGTGACAAAACGGAACCATCAACATCTCTCCTCAAATTGCATTAAAAGTGACATTCGTGTCTTAATTCGTTCGTATTTCAACTTTTAAAGCAATTCACGGTCCGCCATCTTGGTATGCTTCGGTTGCCGTGAGACGCGCATGCGCAGTTTTGCATTACATCATAAACAGCTGAGGCAGTGCATCTCTTCAAGGAAGTGTATCTCGGCGTTACACCTGTACATCTGCAACACTTCACTGAGACTGTTCCAGAACTACAGGGACAATGGAACTGGACTTACTCAAAAACTGATCTGAAAAGCAGTGTTATTCCCACGATAAGAGACGGAACACAGACCCCCCGATCTGGGAGTACAGTGATGCTAACACGGACCCCCCCGATCTGGGAGTACAGTGATGCTAACACGGACCCCCCCGATCTGGGAGTACAGTGACGCTTACTCGCCGTATACTTCTGTAAACTAAATTAGGGTCTGATTGTGCATCGAGGACATAGGGCTCGATGTGTCGGATTGTCATTGTTGGAAAAAGGTTATTCTTACGTCTGAAATGACTATGTACCGGTGACAAACAACAAGAGCGTGATGCTACGTGCCTCTCTAACCAGACAGTAAACTGGCTGAAGTCATACCTCAGTGGCAGACAGTAGAGTGTGAGAGTGAACAACACCCTCTCTCCACTCAAAAACTACACCATGGGAGTGCCGCAGGGCTCCATTCTGGGGCCTCTGCTTTTTAGCATTTATATAAATGACCTCCCCTCTGTCTGCACGGCAAATGTCATCATGTATGCTGACGACACAGTGTTGTTTGTTCATGGCAAAAACGAAAGTGATGTCGCCACAAAACTAACAAATGAAATGAAAAATGTTGCTGACTGGCTGTGTCAAAACTGTCTGACATTAAACACAGACAAAACCGTTTCAATGTATTTCACAAACCGAGGTAAGCATATCAGTTGTCCAGATATTTTTATTAATGGTAGTAAAATTAAAAATGTTGATGTATTCTCATATTTAGGAGTGACCCTGGATCAAAACCTGACCTTCAAACATCATGTAAAGAAACTCCGTAACACTCTTAAGTTTAATTTGGCCAACTTCAGATACATTCGGGGGTCACTCACCACTGAGGCGTCCCATCTGTATCTGAACTCCATGATCCTGTCACATTTTGTATACTGTGTCTCGAGCTGGTCTCAGGGCTGTAAAACCACTCTGGGACCTCTCGAGTCACTGTACAAGTGTGCCCTTAAGATCCATGATAAGAAGTCCAGGCGGTACCATCACTGTCCCATCCTCTCTAAATATGATTTTCTCAACTTTGAAAACCTAACATTTTACTCCAATATTTGTTTGCTGTTTAAAATTATCCATGGTGTTAGTGCACCTCCTCTAAGAAAATTTGTTTCATTGAGTGCAGACAAAATGACCAGAACCACTCGATCCACTTCTAGAGGAGAATGCAGCGTCAAAAAATGTAGAACAACTTTTGCTAAATCTGCTTTTTCTGTGACGGCCATGAGTCAGTGGAACACACTGCCCACAGAGATCATTGCGTGTACTACATTTAAAACATTTTCTTGGCTGACTAAGAAATGGCTTCTGAAAAAGCAAGTTTGCACGCACAAGAGAGTGAGTGAGTGAGTGAGTGTAATATTCTAATAGAAATTGGGGAACTTTATTTATTGTTATTAAACTTTATGTTTTTGTGAATTATGTTATTCAAAGCCTGTAAATGTAAGACACAGTCATTATCCATCTACATTGTAATCAGTTTAAATGAACATAACACGAGCCTGCCCAGGGACTACAGGTGGAAATTAGCATCTCTGCTATAACCTGGTACATGCATCTCTCCTTTTGTGTTAATGCTTAACTGTACACTGTCCCTGTTCAAATAAAGTACATACATACATACGTCACCGTGTGGGCGCGGGAAGGCGGCCTCACAGACAGAGGAGCAGACTGATCTCTGGATCAGCCTGTTTGAGTTGAGCTAGAGATGAACAAGAGATGGCTCAAATCTCACAAGTTTTAAGTGTTGTGTGGTGTATCCCACACATTATTATCACACATGTGTATAAGATTGAGTGTGAAACATGAAGAAAAGCGTAATATTGGACCTTTAATACCGATGAGCCTCTGCATTTCAAAAAATGTTCCTCACATTTGAGGAACATTTTTCAGTATGAGTTGCCTGGGAGAACCTTTTTGTCCCAAAAGGCAGTCCTAGAGCTGTACAACAGTATCAAAGACAAAATAATCAGGGAGATCAAAGAGTCAATGGTTTTCTAGGAGTATTTATGGTTAACTGAGTCTGAATTTGTTAAAATGTCTTCCAGTTCCAGAACATTGTTAAATGTTTTAAGAATTATTGGTCTTCCAAATGGTCAATTTGCCGTTTTTATGCCGTTTGGCAGTGCAAAAAGCCTCAGAAGGAAAATTTTAGAATTAATCACATAATTGCCGTTTATTGGAAAAAATCTGGGCCAATTAATCAGAAATGTGTTATTGTGACAGTTCTAAACATGGACAGAGGGCTCAGCGAAACAATGGTGTGTCTTGCATATTAGGATTTCAATATTTCAAACGTGTTTGAATGATGCTAAAAACGACAAATATTTGACTTGATTTTTTTATTTTCTAGGTCACCGTGTAGCCCCCCGGGCTTTTGAAGATTGGGAACATCTCCACCTCCCTCCCCAGGGTTTCTTTGCCCCGCAGGTGGTCTTCCTCACCAGGGTTTCTTTGCCCCGCAAGTGGACGACCCTCCCCAGGTTTCTATCGCCAGCAGGTGGATTACCATCCCAGGTTTTTCCATCCCCGCAGGTGGACGACCCTCCCCAGGTTTTCTATTGCCCCGCAGGTGGATTACCCTCCCCAGGGTTTTCTATCTCCAGCAGGTGGATTACCCTCCCCAGGTTTTCTATCTCCCGCAGGTGGATTACCCTCCCAGGGTTTCTATCTCCCGCAGGTGGATTACCCTCCCCAGGTTTTCTATCTCCAGCAGGTGGATCTCCCTCCGCAGGTGTTGGATCTTCCTCCGCAGGGTGGATCTCCCTCCGCAGTGTTGGATCTCCCTCCGCAGGTGTTGGATCTCCCTCCGCAGGTGTTGGATCTCCCTCCGCAGGTGTTGGATCTCCCTCCGCAGGTGTTGGATCTCCCTCCGCAGGTGTTGGATCTCCCTCCGCAGGTGTTGGATCTCCCTCCGCAGGTGTTGGATCTCCCTCCGCAGGTGTTGGATCTCCCTCCGCAGGTGTGGATCTCCCTCCGCAGGTGTTGGATCTCCCTCCGCAGGTGTTGGATCTCCCTCCGCAGGTGTTGGATCTCCCTCCGCAGGTGTTGGATCTCCCTCCGCAGGTGTTGGATCTCCCTCCGCAGGTGTTGGATCTCCCTCCGCAGGTGTTGGATCTCCCTCCGCAGGTGGTGGATCTCCCTCCGCAGGTGGTGGATCTCCCTCCGCAGGTGTGGATCTCCCTCCGCAGGTGGTGGATCTCCTCCGCCTCCTCCGCAGGTGGACCTTGCGGATCCTGATGTTCCGGCTCCCAGATCTCCCTCACCCTCTGCTTCCTGCTCTTCTGATTTTTCCTATTCAGATTTCCAGAGCCTTGAGGAGTTCCTGGACATTTTTGTGCAGACTCTGGATCCAGCTCCTGCCTCCCCCACTGTTGCTCCTATTCAGGTCCGTCCAATCATTGGTGCAGATGTCCCCTCTCCTCCTGGCAGTGCCCCTTCTTCTCCCCTTCTTGCCTCCCCCTCACACTCTTCCTCTTCAGGTCCAGAGGAGTTTATTTTAGGTCCAGATCTTCCTTCTCCTGTTTCAGATTTACCTGACCCAGGTTGCTCTTCAGCTTCTAACACTGCTTCTCCCACTCCCTCTTCTCCCTACAAACGTAGCAGGTCCGAGTGCTCTCCCGAGAACAGCTCCAAGAGGCGGCGCCGCTCGTCTCCTGCTCCCTCTTCTTCCTCCCGCTCTCCTTCCTTGTGACTCTCCCTTCCCCCTCTCCACTCTTCCCTCCCCTTCCCCCTCTCCACTCTTCCCTCCCCTTCTCCTCTCGCTCCACTCTTCCCTCCCCTTCTCCTCCCTCCCTCTCTTCTCCCTGCTCATCTCCTTCCCTGTCTCTTTCCTCCTAACCCAGGGGTCTCAAACCGGTTCCAGAAAGGGCCATGTGGCTGCAGGTTTGACGTCCAACAGTTCCAAACTGAGCAGGAGCACAAATGACTCCACCCATTTCCTCAGGTGAGTCCAGTTTTAACCTGGAGATTTGAGGAAATGGGTGGAGTTATATGTGCTCCTGCTCAGTTTGGAACTGTTGGAAGTAAAACCTGCAGCCACATGGCCCTTTCTGGAACCGGTTTGAGACCCCTGTCCTAACCCCATCCCCGCCCTTGTAATCCCCCTGATCCTTCTTCCACACTTCCTAATCAGATCCAGTTCCAGGACCCACTTTTTACTGTCCTCCCTCTCCTTCCTCCTCTTCCTGTTTCTCCCTCTCGGGTATTTCAACAGCACGAGTAGACCCAGACTCTGGAAGGACAAACATCAGTGTCCAGAGCAGTAAAGGAGTCTACCTGACCTGTGGCAGCTGCCATAATTACTGCCACTGGCATTTTCAGTGGCAGCTACAGTTGCCACAAAAAGAGATTCCCTTCTTGTCCCGACAGACATCAATGTCTAGAGCAGTGACACTGGAATCCGCCACAATCTCTGCCGCTGGCAAACTTGAGCGGCCTTTTCCTTGGCAGCTAGAAGTTTAGTGGCATTTTTAGTTGCAGCTAGTATTTAATTGGCATTTATCAGCAACGTCTTCAGCAGAGAGCAATTTGACCTTCTTGGTTTTCCAGCTGCACAGAGAACAACCAGGGCACCACTACCTGCCCTGGGGAACAGCTTATATCTCCAAAATGTGTAGCTGCCATTGAAAATGCCACTAAACTTCGAGCTGCCACTGAAAATGCCAGTGGCAGAAATTGCCGCAGCCTTTTATCCAGCTCCCACAGAAGGAACAGAGCAGACCCAGGTGAACTCTGGAGGACGGACATCAATGTCTAGAGCAGACTCAGGTGAGCTATGGAGATCAGACGTCGCATGTTCTTTAAAAATCTATTCTCTCAACACTAAATTGTATTTGTGCAGATGCAGAGGTGCCGGCTGAAGCGCATTGAGTGCAGAGAAGTGTGTCGCAGAGCAACAGATGCTGAATCACACGTGTCAGAGCTCACTGAACATTCAGGAAAAGTGGGTACAGCACACACGACCTGACCTGATAAGAGTGTACTGGAGCAGCAATGCAGGTAAGGGTGGTCTATGGGTGTAGATATTTGTAGCTTGAATCTTGTGAAACTTCAAACTTTAGAGCTGAGACTACTTCCTTTGTAAACTCAGCAGAGAGCATCTTGACAATCAGGGCACCACCACCTGCCCTGGGGACATTCATGTGAAAATGCCTTAAGCTCTTGCTGCCCTGGAAATAAACAAAACTTCTAGCTGCCACTGAAAATGCCAGTGGCAGAAATTGTGGCTGCAGCTGACGGTGCCACAAAAAGAGCGTGCCTTCTCTCATCCAGCACAGACTCAGGTGACCTTAGGAGGACAGACACAGGTTTTTTAAAAGCTGTTCTCTCAACACTAAATTTTATATGTGCAGATGCATAGAGGTGCCTGCAGAAGCGATTTGAGTGCAGAGCTCACTGGACATTCAAGACCAGGGGGACAGCACACAGGACCTGACCAAGATAAGAAGTTACTGGAGCAGCAATGCAGGTAAGGGTGGTCTATGGATGTATATATTTGTATATATAAAGTGGGCCAAAAAATAGTTGTCAGTCACTGACAGTTGTCCCACCACTTCTTATTTCAACTTGAACTGAATCAATTAATTTTTATAGTAGTGCAGAAAATAAATGTTCTGTTCCCCATGTGTGTCTATTCCCCTGTCTCTAAGTCCCCTGTCGCTTGTGTCTTGCGGGCTTGGTGTTTTACTGGTGGGATCTCTGAGCAGTTACACCTGACTCCTACGATCAAGCTCTCCAGGTCTCCCAGGCTGATTGTTCCGTCTTCTCAGTGGTACAGACCTATCATTAGCAAGAATCTAGTGAAACTTCAAACTTCAGGATGTGTAGCATATTTTTGCCTTGTGATTCATTCAAATGTTCTTTTTTCCCAGACGACCTGTCTGCTCCAGAGACCCACCAGCCAAGGCAAGCGCATCCTCACCCATCTCCGCTCTGTGGTCAGCCCCACCCTGGACCCACTGCAGTGCGCCTACAGGCCCAACGTCCGACGTAGAGGCCGCTTGACGCTGTCGGTCATAGTGCTTTCAACACCATCAGTCCGGCACTGCTGCGAGGGAAGATGGAGGACGCGGGAGTGCACTGTCACCCCACTGCATGGTCCCGCTGCGTAGCCGCACATACGACACACAGAGCTGCCAACCTGCAGTTCTCTGACGCCTGGTGGGCAGAACCTGGGTGTTCACATGAACGATAAACTGGACTGGTCCCATAATATCAACGCCCTGTACAAGAAGGGTCAAAGTCGCTGCCCCCTTCTGAGGAGGCTGTAAAGTGAGCAGGCCTCTGCACAGAACTTTCCATGACTCTGTGGTAGACTATCCACTACGCTGCCGTGTGCTGGGCCCCGGGCAGCACAGAGCGGGACAGGAACTGACTTAACAAGCTGGTCAGGAGGGCCAGCTCTGGACTGTCCACTATACTCTGTGGAGGAGGTGAGGGACTGGAGGGTGCTAGCCAAAGTCACCTCCATCATAGTCACCACCTCCACCCACTTCACAGGAGTGTAGAGCTCTTTCAGTGGAAGACTAAGGCACCCTGAGGGATTCTATCTTATCTATCTCTCTCTATCTTATCTTAATAAATGTTTTGCCTTTTTCCTAACCTGCTTGCAGTGTCTGCTTTGGGGTCCTTTTACAAATCTTTTTTTTCAGACTCAAATGTAATTGGTCCATATTCTGAAAGAACACAAATATAAAAGAAACTACAATACAATATATACAGTCAGTCCAAACAGGTGTATAGGTGTAGTTCCATGACTCATTTTTAACTCATGACATGACTAACGCAGCCACTGTGTTTATTTTAGTTTAATCAAACTTTGATTGGTCAACTACAAACACAATGAATTACAGTTTGATTACATGCAGAAACGAAACTGGTAATAATGTGATAACAAACAATATCAGCTTTCATAGCTTGTTAATTACAGTGCACTTTTCTAGAAGTACTTTGACTCATTTTAGTGAATTTAGTGACTCATTTTAGTGAATTTAGTGTTTTGAAGTAACTACACTTAAGGATCCATCTCTTTTATTGGTTTGACTTATGTAAAGTTTGTCTTTACACTAGAGCTTGTGTGACTGCTGTGTCTTGCCTTACGCTAAATGACCACAGAGGCTGCTGGGTTTGGTATGAAGCAAGTTTTACGTGCAGTGCAAGAATTCCATTTAGTTTTGTATAGCAGCAATTCACAACAAGGACTTTACAAAATAGTTGATTCACCAACAACAGATCAGAGAATCTAACAGTTCAAACAAAGGAAATGTAATAATAACAAAAACATTGGAGCCATTGGTCCATGAGGAGCGGGACGACTACGGTCCAGAAATGTCCTGGGCTATCACTGGAAAAGAAGTAAGAAACCTCTGGCAGGCCCACATTGAAAGAGGCTCCCATGGATCCAGGACTCAGGCTGTCGAACGAGGACTGAGGCTGTGCTCTCAAGCAGTGAGGGGGTGCTTACAAGTCCAGGCCCGGGCGAGACCAGTCCACAGGTGTAGATGAGAGGGTCGGATTCATGAGTCCCATCAGCATAATAATAATAATAATATAAAGAATATTATTATTATCAGCACGCTAGGAAACAAACAGCACATTAAAATAATTTACAATACTAATGTTGACCTAAAGTTTCATTGTAACGAGTTCTTGTGATTGTATGGTAGATTTTTGTAAACTTTTCATACATTTTAACTATGTATGTGATTACCTTAAATAATTATATGAGGCTCTGTCTCCTGCAAAGACAGTAACTGTATAAGAGTTAAATCAAATATACTTAAGCTAAACTGTAGCACCCTCAGGAAAGGAAATAGCATGAGAACAAATTAGGAACCCTTTGAACTTGTGATAACTGTTCACAAAAAGGAATCACATACCAAAACAAATTAGAATTATACATTTGTCTGTATATTTGGGCTGCAACTAACGAATATTTTAATAATTGATTAATCTGTCGATTATTTCGTTGATTAATCAACTAATCGGATAAAAATATATATTTACAGTGGGGCAAAAAAGTATTTAGTCAGCCACCGATTGTGCAAGTTCTCCCACTTAAAATAATGACAGAGGTCTGTAATTTTTTATCATAGGTACACTTCAACTGTGAGAGACAGAATGTTAAAAACAAATCCAGGAATTCACATTGTAGGCAAGGCAAGGCAAGTTTATTTATATCGCACAATTCATACACAAGGCAATTCAAAGCGCTGATCAAAACAAGATAGCATTAAAATCATAAATAATCACAGAACATTAAAAAGAAAGATAAAAATATAAAATCCCTCAGTTGTATGCACAGCTAAACAGAACTGTCTTTAACCTGGTTTTAAACATTGTCAGAGAGGAGGCCTGTCTCACATCTTCAGGAAGATTGTTCCAGATTTTAGCAGCATGAATCTGAAAAGCAGCCTCCCCATGTTTAGTTCTGACTCTGGGCACTAACAGGAGTCCAGTCCCTGTGCTCCTCAGAGTCCGGGCTGGTTCATATGGGACTAACATGTCACTAATATATTTTGGTGCGAGGCCATGGAGAGACTTGTACACAAGCAGAGCTGTTTTAAAGTCTATTCTCTGAGCCACAGGAAGCCGGTACAGAGACCTGAGGACTGGACTAATGTGGTCGTACTTCCTGGTTCTAGTCAGGACTCGAGCTGCTGCATTTTGAATGTACTGCAGCTGTTTTACAGCCTGTTTGGACAGACCTGTGAGCAGGCCATTGCAGTAGTCTAAATTGTAGGATTTTTAAAGAATTTATTTGTAAATTATGGTGGAAAATAAGTATTTGGTCACTTCAAACAAGGAAGATCTCTGGCTCTCACAGACCTGTAACTTCT